ACACACACACACACACACACACACACACACACACACACACACAGATTTCTGAGCAAGGTAATCATCACTTTAAGACATTCTGTCCATTTGCTGTCTCAGTAGAGCTTAGCTTGGCTTGAAAATTGGTCTGTCTGGTGTAGGAGCAGTGCCCAGCAGCCTCTACTCCGTCAACCAAGTAACATTTTATTTCTGTCAGTGGTCCAACTCATTTGGATAGTCAAATAAAAAGAGCAAAAAATAAATAAATGTGGCTTCAAACAGGGTGTGAGAGTGTTAACCTCACATTGTACGTTCGGGCATGGCTGTGAGTTCTCTGTTTAATTATTGCGACTGCCTGTAAAGTGGATATTTTCAGGTACACGCGAGGATAAGTTATCTACAAATGGCCAGTGTTGTCAATTTCACGGCGAGAACAGTCTTGATGTTTCATTATTTAATGGGTTGACTGCTATGAAATTTGCAGAGAACATTCATGCTCACAGTCAGAAGAAGTCTTTAGATTTTGCCCATTACGTGAAAAAAATCAATAAGTTGTTTTATGGTGCTCTCATATCTCGGAGCCTCTGACTCGTGTGTTTGTTATTTTGCAGTTATGGCTAGCCAAATGGAAGATGCTCTTTTAACTGATTTTTTTTCCTGCATGATCCCTGTAAGGCACTTTCATCAAGAGAACTCTGTCATGGTGTATTAAAACTGAAAAAGCATTCTAGCCGCCTGCTTTTAAAGCACTAAAAACTTTCCTGACATTTTTAATGAGAATATTAAACTCTTTAGTGGAACACAAAGCCAAAAAGGTAAAAAAAAATGTCTCTTTGCAAACAACAGCCAGCCTGTCGTTTTCACCTTTGAACACCAGTTGCTCCTCTGTAATAAGTTCATTACTGACTCATTATGCTAATGTGATGTACTTTATCCTCACTGCTGTGTTTGGCAGGCCAGTTGGCGGTGGGAACCTGCGAGATAGTGATGCTCAACAGAGACAGCAGTGTTCCCAGGCGGACCATCGCCAGGCAGACAGCCCGCTGCGCCTGCAGGAGAGGCCAGATCGCCGGCACCACCAGGGCGAGGCCGGCCTGCGTAGATGGTGAGTTCAGTGACTTCTCTAGCCCAATGGAGAATAAATATTAGAGAACGTAGCTGGAGTGATTCAGTACAGCGGGAGAAGAAGTCACTTTGGCAAGCAACTGAATCGGCTGGTGTGCTATAAACATAGAAACAATCTAATTAAAAAGTGTAATTGATGAAAAAAAAGTTCAAAGTAATTTCAATATTTCTGTAACACAATGGATTTTTCCCCTATGTTTGAAGAAAAACTATTTGTATTTCACCTATAACAACTATATTGCAGTCAGCATGTCAAAACCTTTTAATATTTCCCTATATGAAGCCTGTTGTATGCAACTCCACCTTTACCACCATAAATCGAACAGCTGTAGTTCAATTAAACTATTAAAGTAGAAATATTCTCTGAGCATTTAGGTTTGTTTTTTTTTAATTTTAAGATTTTTTTAGGGAAGTGTTTTTCATCAAGAGTTAAGGATCGAGTCACCTGGCACACTTGTGTGCTACATAAGATCACTAGCGGCTGGTTAGCTTGGCTTACACCCTAACCTTAACACCACTCGCAGAGTCTCCAGGATGTACAAGGAATGATCTCTTGTAAAATATGATTGTGATATTTCTATACTACTGTTAATAATGAACCTCAGAGATGCCTGCAGGCAGGGTTTAGTTTTCTTTGTACGGAGCCAGGCTAGCAGTTATTCTTTCCAGTCTCTATGTTAACCTACACTAGCTGGCTGCTAGCAGTGGCTTCATACTTAATTGAACAAGTTGTGTCAAACTTTTTACTCTTGTTGAGTGTGGGATCTCGATCTGTGTTTCTGAACAAGGTGGGAAAAAGTGGGAAACCTAGTCATGTATTTACGTTTGTACATTTTTTGCAGTAATGCAGGAGTGGAGAACAATGAAGTATTTGAATAAATCTCGTGCAAAAAAAAAAAAATTTGATAGTTTTTAATGTATGTAATTGCATTGTAATTTCACAAACCTAGGAGTGCTCTCTGGATGCTCTGGTCCTGTTGAGAAAAGCTGAATAATACGCTGTAAAATAAAACTAAACACCAAAATTAAAGTAGTGACATAAATACTGAAAAAAACATTTTAGTTAATGGAAATAAAAAACAAAACTAAATTCAACTGATGCGATATTTATATGCCAAATCATAACAACAATCAATTCAAGTCTAGCAATCAGACGACCTCCTGTGATGAAGCACTTGGCGAGTGTGGGAAGCAAAAACCTTTAACAGGAAGAAACCTCCAGCAGAACCAGGCTCAGCGAGGGGCAGCCATCTGCTGTGACTGGTTGGAGATGAGACAGAGAGACAGGACAAAAACAGCTGTGGAAGAGAGCCAGAGATTAATAATAACTAATGATTAAACGTAGAGTGGTGTATAAACACATGAAGAGTGAGCCCACAGCAGTCTAGGCCTACTACAGCATAACTAAGGGAGAGTACAGGGTCACCTGACCCAGCCTTAACTATAAACACATAGAATTTTAAGCTTAATCTTAAGAGTAAAGTAAATGGTAAATGGCCTGTATTTGTATAGCGCTTTTACTAGTCCCCCCTAGACCCCAAAGCACTTTACACACCCAGTCATCCACACATTCACGCACTGGTGGAGGCAAGCTACAGTTGTAGCCACAGCTGCCCTGGGGCAGACTGACAGAAGCGAGGCTGCCATATCGCGCCATCGGCCCTTCTGGCCAACACCAGTAGGCGGTACGTGAAATGTCTTGCCTAAGGACACAACGACCGAGACTGTCCGAGCCGGGGCTCGAACCGGCAACCTTCCAATTACAAGGCAAACTCCCAACTCTTGAGCCACGATGTGTGTCTGTATCCCCAAATCCACACTGGGAGCTGGTTCCCCAGAAGAAGTAACTACGGAAAATAACACTATTTAAAATAAATTAGCAACAAGTGTTTTTCATTTGATCCATTCTTGCTTTGGTCAAATTTCCAAAGCAAGGAAGCTTTGATAAAAGGGTTAGGGTACTAAACTCTAAACTAAACTGATCTGCAAACAAAATGAAAAAAAAAAATCAACTTCAGGTTAAAATATCGCCAAGACCAATAATACATGCCATAATGACACGTGGAATCATTTCCTCTGCCACAACAGCATCTACAGACCTTTTTCATGGCAGACATTTTGACATAACAGGAACATCATGACAAATTATAAGAGGAAAAGCACAGGTGTAACTATTAACAATAATGTCTCTGTTCCAGTAGGAGTCCCATTTCAGTGAAGCAAAATGCACAATACCGCAGCCCTGCATCGGCTACTCCTGAGTGGAATGCAGTTGCTGTTTTCTGCCTGTCCGCCTGTGTCGTGACTTCCAAACGTGCTGCTGGACAAACCAGCTGTTGCAGGAACTACGGCACCGCTGTGTCGGTCTGACTGTCCTGTCTTTGGACAGTCTTTGTCAAAATGGTAGCGTCGTAACCATGCACTATGCAGTCATGAAACTTTACCAACCCAAGGAGAATGGAAGAAAACAGGACAAAGAGTCATTAGCCACTTTACAGCCAAGTTATTAATGTCAAAAATATCCTAATGCAAAGCAGCATCATCTCCCCCGTTTGACACTGGGTAAAAAGCCAGACTTCAACAACAACAGAGCGCAACCTGTCCTCAATAAGCCCAATGAACAAAATGTATTGGCTTCCTTCTCTCTCCATTAAAAGTAAGTGCCGATGTAATTTGGTTGTTTAACCAGCCAATCGATAATCACTTTGCATGTCTGACTTTTTGATGCCTTTTAGACTGTTTTACTCCTAACTGTGTGATTGGTTGTCTGCATTAGGCCTTCTTCAGTCAGCCACTGTGACATCAGCAAATTAGTAATTGCTTTGTGTCTCCAGCGTGTATTGGGTTGAATATTCCTCCTCCTTTTCCTCCTCCACCTGGGTTTTTAAAAAAAAAAAAAAAAGATCACTTGTAATGGAGACTCCAGTGTTCATCCACTTTGTAGATAAGATTTTATACTTTAGAGCCCCTGTCTCTGAGCCATTGGACAGTATCTAGCTAAGGGTGATAAGAACGATGAAAGGGATGGGAGGGGTGTGATTGGAGCTCACAATATCACAATCAGATGCACCATTAGTTCCATCATGCGATGACTCATGTTGGCCTTAATCTAATATCCCTGACACCAGAGCCCCACAGTCCATGTCATCCTCTCGGCGCGCTGCCTTTAACCACCTCTCCCTCTCCGCAGACATTTTTCCATAACACTCAACAGATGCTAATTAATTTACAGAGAACTATGATTACAGCAGCAGGAAATTGATTATTACTGGCTTCCTGCCGCACCACACCCTACGCTCCATTAATAGCCAGCGCATTAAAGTTGGGACCTGTTGCTTGCAGGGTCATATTAAGATTTTCTGCTGACAGCTGAGCTCGTCAGTCGTTGCCAGGATTTTAAATGGAATTAGTGTGTATTGCACCAAAATGCAGTGGATTTAATGATGCCTGTGCTCACATATCCTCTCTAACCTTTTAGCTGAGAGCATATTCATTTACATTCACTTTAATGGCCCTTCCCATAAATCCTCTTTTGCCCTTCTAAACACATAAACAATTCACAGACTTATAAATAGGTTTATATATTTCTGTATCTCACCAAGGCCGGGGAACATTCTTTCAGTGTTCCACTTTCTTCCTGATCAGTTTTATACAACACTTTCACAGCTGCAGAAGAAGTGGATCACTGCCCTTTTGTGATCCTGTGATAGAACAGTGACCTTTAATGAAAGTGGAACCGTCACTGACTCTCCGTCTGTGGCATGTAAACAAAGGCGAGCGAGCCTGCCTGATACGGGGTGTTTACAGCTATGACTAATTTTGGAAACATATGGTGAACGGAGCACAAAAATCTCATTTGTTTTTCAGGTTAAAGAGTAACTTAAACAAATTCCTTTTTGTGACGGAGAGCTGTGGTTTATATGCATGTCCATATGGTGTTTCTTTTGTGTGCTCGAAGACAAGCAGTCAGCTACACGGCTGAGCGTTTTTTGCCTGGGAGCTGCAGGATGTCAGTGCAGTTTCAAACACAACAAGACTAAGGAACCAATCCCGTGGATGCGGCTTGTTAGAACTGAAAATCGGGAACAAGGTTTATCCGACATTGCCGCATTTTTAGCTGCTTGATTACGCAGTCATATCAGGAGCTTGTGCTATTTATGTGTGCTCCTTCCTTTTTTTTCCTATCCTCTGCTCTCTGTTTCAACATTTCTGCGTCATGGCCTGTGTATTGTGGTGAAACGGACACACACAGAACAGAGAAATTGAGAGGCGGGTTGCCCGACTTGATCTTAACTAGTTATGTTACTGTAAGTGCAATAAAAGTGTTAATAACTCTAAAGTTGTGCTTGTGATAAAAACTGGCCTTTTTAGTGCACTCTTTATGACTGAACCTGCCGATGGACAAGTTAAGCAGTGTTTTCTGATATCTGGCCAGGCAGGCGCTGTGTCCTCCTTCATCCTGCAAGAGAACCCATGAGTGGTGCTCTCACATCCAGAGGGAGAGTGGAAGCACGTTGCAGACAAGTAGCTAAGAGAGGATATGGCTTTAATTTCTCTGTATTTGTGGATCCGCATTTGAATGAGGCCACTAAATGAGACAAAGGTGTGCATTTGGGTGTTACAGATTGGATGTTACAGTTTGTAACACAAAGAGGTCTCCTCGTCTTACAAAGTGAGGACACTGTTGCGAATCGCTTGCTCATAAAGGATCATCGGCTCGTTGGCTTTCTCTTTGTAAAGTCTTTAGCTTACAATACAAAGCACCTTGAGATGGCTTTTGTTGTCAACGGGTGGCACATACTCTAGTTAAAACTGGATTGAACTGAATATGTAACTATTCATTTTATAAAGCGGTAGAAAGATCAAGAGCATGCTCATACATAATACCAATAGCTATTAAATGCTGAGACCAAGGATTGAAAAATTAAGATGTGTGCTGACTTATGATTAGCAAATAACTGCAATGTCCCTGGTTCACTT